TACGGTCACTCTAACTAATTAACGTTAATGCATTTTTTCTTAATTTTCATGCAAATCGACAAAAAATTGCATTGAAATGTTATAAGCGACACCGAAAGTCCTTGTACATTGTTTTTCATGCAAAACGACGAGACATTTAATCAATGTGTCAGTCATTTTGAATTTTTGAAGTCTGATGTAAAATCGTTAACTCCGAAAATGCAATTTGTCATGTAAATAATACCATTTCTTGAAAGTTCAACTAGCCTGAAGCGTAGTGAACAACATCACAGAACCTAACTTAACCTACCAACCATTGCGAGATTCAATAACGTTCGACAAGACCTTTTTCAAATAAGGTTATCGACTTGTTAAACTGAATTATTGCATCCCGCAATGAATGGCAGATTTCTGCGGATGGCGTTCACTGCGTTGTGCGCATCTATTCATTAAACGTTTAATAGCAGCAAGTGAATTGAAGCTGTCGGAGTTGTCTATGGCGAGCTGATGAGAACTAAAGTGTTCGAAAATGCGATTTAAATCCGACAGTTTCAACATAATATTGACCAAGAACATATTTTTGAACTTACGTTAGGTTTTGGGCATTCTTCGTCTGTACACCCTTCCTAAGTTCCGATCCCTTTGTTCTGTTAACTGCAGCTCGTGACATTCGAGGACTTTTCGTAACCGGAATGGCTTTTGACTGTGGTTTTATGTTATTTACAGGCGGTGATTGAGTTATTCGATTAATTAAGGGTGATGGTCGATAATCAGGACTCATAAGAGATTCAGGTACCGGCACTAATTTAGTAAGAGCTTGTAACGGAGTATTAGTGAGTTCTAAAAATTTTAATAATAAAAACATTTACAAATCAATTCATTTCAAAAATTCAAAGATTATAACATTTACATACTTTTAACAGACAAAAGTTATCACAATTTTAGAATAATAAAATTATTATTTTGTTCATACCGTTACCATTTATTTATTTATTGGTATTCAACACTATTACTGACATGAATTTTTAAAAAAAAAATCATATATACATTTTTAGTACTTTTTTGTCGAAAAAATATTCTCAAAGTACAATAAGAAATTAATTGTAACAACTTTAATAAACAATAACAAAAGAGAGAAAACTTACCCTCGAAACATTTTTCTGTATTTTCATTCAATTTTTCGTTACTCTGACAACTTCTATCACTGGTCATATTTTTTTGTGAAATTGTATGACTAAGCATCGTAGGATCCAAACTCTGCGTCATCAACGGCGAATTAATCAAATTACTACTGGTGGAATAGCAGCTTGAACTCATTCTATCTGGAGATTTTGAAATACTCGACAATCTAGAATCTAAGTAAAAAATCAACCTACTGAAATTATGACAATAAAAGTAAATCTTACTTTGAAATCTTGGAGAGTTCTTTATACCCTGAAGCTTCTTCCTAGTTGCAGGGGACGGACTAGAGTTTTCACCTAAGAAATTGTAATTAACGGACACGACAAATTAAAAACATGAATGAGTGAATCATTCTTCTATCAAAAGAAGCTACTGTGCTACAAAAGTAATTATTGTGGATTACAATAAATATTTTATAACTTAAACTTTGTATTTGTTTTCGTATTTTTTTTTGTTATGTATGTAGTATATGTATTTCCCATTCCATTAATTTTAAATTATATTCTATTGTTGCAATTATTAACGCCACTAGAAAACTATTTCCTAAAGCAAATATAGCATACTGTAGGATTCATTTTCACAATGCTTGTGGCGGTAAATTTAAAATTGGCTTATTTAATCTACTAAGCCATATATACTTCACGAAAAAAGTTTGGGATGATTATGAAACGGAAACGCAAAAAGGGGAGACGTGGAAAGATGCGAGAATTTTAGCAATTAATTTAACTGCCGTTGCGTCAAATATTTTAACTAGAATTGTACAGAGAATAATAATAATAAGAGTGGAGAAATATTAGGGAAGACCAATTTGGAATTAGAAGAAATAAGGGTCTAAAATCAGCAACATGGGAACAGCTAAAAGCTAAGCTTGTTTAGGGGTTTTCTAAAAGAAAATCAAACTTCTAAAATCCAAAGATACTATTTCCTTTATAAAGTAATTGGTAATAACGATTTTTATGAGTCAATTAACCTAATGGACATAGTGACCATAAAGTTTTGGTTTTTGAATTGTTTCACTTTGAACAATTACAGAAGTCATCAGCTCATGTTACTCTGAAGATGTCCCATGTTACCCAGGATTCAATGTAGGTAATAAAACAACAAACCCAGAACCAAACTTTCACAGTCAATAAATAACAGCAGAAGCCTACAAAATATCATATGATTAGATTAGCAAACCTACTGTTTGTTTGCTGATCTCTCAGCTGCTGTTGATGATGTTGTGCTTTGCTAAGAATCAGTTTTAGCTTGCGATCTTCTTCGGTCTCTAGAGCCTCACCTGTCAAAGGACAAACAGTTGCAAGATACTGACTTAATTCTTTCTGCTCGCCCACTCTAAAATGTCTACCCCGGCCTTGAGAATATAACCACTCTGCTCTAAGGCTATTAAATAGAAAAAAAAAGTAACTTTATTAGAAAAACTAAACAACTACCAAATAAAACAGCAAAACCACATATTTCTAAGCACTATTATTTATGAGATGAAAACACCAAGACTTATAAATACCGAGTAATATTAAATTAACATTTTTTAAATGAACTGATAAAAATACGCTAGAAGAAATTCTTGCATTGTTTGAAAAAAACTTACATATAAAACACTAAGTCAATTTACAAACGAATGGTAGAAAACATTCATATTAAATGGATTAAATAAAATAAACTTAAAATGTTTGAACAATATTAATTGTGTTTCATTTTCAACAACAGTAAGTACTTGTTGTATTTATTGCATATTTATTCAACATGTTTCAACAAACGGTCACTATTGATAATTTGAATTAAATGTATATTATTAAAAAAATGTTCAAACAAAACATAAGAAATGTAATTTTCTTTCATGAACATAAATTTAAATTCTTTTAATTTAAAAAGAACATATTGTACAGAACGAACAAATGACTTTTTTGAAATTCAAATGAAGAAGAAATTCATGCATACTAAAATTTGAAGCATAGTTTGCGTTTTTGTTAAAAATTTAAGCGCTTTTCAGAGAAACTAATGTTTAACTGCATAGGGCTAGATAAAAAAAGGAGAAATGTACCCTTACCTTTCAATGGCATCTACAGCATAACCATCAATTGTGCGTACATTCATACACCAGTTTATTAAAAATGGACGGTAGTCAAAGCCTCTAATAAAATTAAGGAAATTTTTAAAAAATTTTATGCATGCAGACAATATTTAAGGAAAAACTTTTTTTAATGACCTACTATTGTATGTTCCACAAGTTTGAGTTGTTAAACGAAAAATATATGCAGGGTTATTCAGATTTAATGAATTTTTAGACGTTTTAAGGAAAGTTGAAAATGTTGCCATGTGAATTTTCGATAATACTCTGTCTACCATTTAATTTAATAATAACTCGTAATAGCCGCAGTTTTTTAAAATTTCAAATTATCTCCAGAACTGCAAATGATATAAAGTAAATTAAATAAGTTGTTTTGAATGTTATATAGAAATACAACAAATAATGAAATGTATGTGCGGCTCATTAACGAATAACTTCAGATCAATATAGCTTTCTTTGATAACTCATTTTTTAAAATCAACAATCAAATTTTAGCTTGAGGGATTAAACCAATAAGAAGTTCATAGCGGCCAGCGTTCTATCGAAACCGTCAGACGCGGATCGCGATTTCGATCTCGTTGGATCAGCGCGTTGTAGGCAGTTTCGACAGAACATAGACGCGCTGTTGGTGGTACTTCATGAAGGATTAAGGACATAAGTTCATAAAAATGGTCCCCACTATAATTATCTTTATTTTTAACTACATGATTAAAAACTGAAAGACTAATAATAGGCAATCAAAAGTTGTTCAAAGAATGCTAAATAAGTGATTATTAATGAGTATTACAAATAAACTCTGTATAAATTAGAATTACATAGATTACATAAAATTCTTTTTTGTAAATTAGAGCGAAACAAGGTATGCACTTGGATGTAGGAGGTAATTTCCAAAACTACTCATATGATTTCATAAATTCGTTCATGAATATTTAGGACTTGACCTTCCCGGTGGAGACCAATTTTGCAACATAAGTCGATGAAAAAATGCTCTTATGAATGCGTTTTTTAACGATAAGAGATATATAAACGCTTTCTGTAGAAAAGTTGTAGAGCTAAAAAATGCCTGTAAAAAAATTCTCGACGACATATATTTATATTGTTGCATAGTATCCATAAATTCTTATTTAGGTTGCTGGTACAAAGTTGCTACATCTAAATTATTTATTTATAACTGCAAGGCAACGTCTACTACTAGGTTAGTAGGTTAATTAGCAACAGTTGAAATGGTAGAATCAATAATAAATGAGGAGTCGAATCCAAGATCACGANAAAACAATTTAAGGATACATGTTGCTACCCACAAAATTGACACAGGGATTATTGGAAATGGAGATGGATGTTAAATTCGTTAAATGTGAAAGATGAGATATTTCATTAAGATCTGCAATGTTATTCGAAGCTAATGTTAATGTTACTAAACTAGTTGGAAGGAAGCGATCACACTGATGTAAATGACCTATTTTATTCCCATGCAGGTATAATTCCTGAAATCTAATTGTGTTAGAAACAAATAAATTGGTTATTTCAATTGTTACCTTTAGATTCTTTAAGAAGGAAAGGTCTGACACATGAGTAATGCTATTTACAGAGAGATCAAGATGCTCTAAGTTTACATTCGTATTTAAATGTTCTATTGTCTAAAAAGAAAAAGTATCATTAGCTAATTCCAATTATGAGAGAAAACAATACTTTAAATCGCTTTGAACTACACTTTATAAAGTGTAAATGATTAACATAAACACAGTCTAAGCTACAGTTTTCCAATAAAAGATAAATTAGGAATCTTAGAACAAATCGTTCCATATGCAAACTTCATTTCTATTTTAACAAAGTTACTAGTTAATGTTTCAATTCAGTCCAGTCCTTTTACCTTAATGCTGTTTCCTGCTAAGCAAAGATGTTTTATATTAACCAACTCTTTAAGACCTTCAATTGTAAGAATTCCATTGTGAGCTAAATTTAAAGTGTGTAAGCAATGCAAACGACAAACTCCATACATACGCAGTAACTGGTTTTTAACAGCTGATAACTGCAAAAAATGTGTAAACAACTAAATTTAAATTTTGTGTTAGGGCATACATTTTGGACTTTTGTAAAAGAGTCTAAATTATCCAACCTTTGAAGTTCATTATTATCGAGGATTAACGTACTAACTTGTGCTTCACTAGTGGAAGGTTTGCTGAGTTTTTTCAGCTTTTTATTTGATAAATCTAAAGTATCTAACACTTCTACAAAAACAAGGTTAGTCATTTTAATAAAGCTATTTCTTATAAAAGCGACGTATTTAATTGCTCAAGCAATGAAAGGAAGCTATGCCGATATTTGCTTACCCATGTTAAAACGTAAACATATAGGAACAAAAACATTTAATTTAAAATTTTTATCCTAATATGCACTTTAGTTTTAGGCTTATATTGAATATTGATATTTTACAAATCTGACATTTCTCTCATGACGCTTCAATGTAGCCAAATCTAAACCATATAAAATTAAATTTCCTAGACTTTAAAAACAGATATTCTGTAATTTATTAACATTTAATTTACTTAAAATTTAATAAACATCCAAATAGAAATAAATTTTCAAATTTACAGTAAATGGTTTGTTTATTACGTTATTCCCATATTCTTAATATTACATGGTGATCTTGATAATATTTTTCCCCTGGTTTAACAGTAACAGTTGGTAAGACTTTATAGTCTTATGCTATGGTTTTGTGGTTGTGGTTACGATGTTTATTGTATTTGGTTGCTGATTGATGATTTGCAGATTAATGATTTGAAGTCACTTGTAAATTTAAGAAAGTGGCACACACCATTAAAGCTTCCACAATGTGATTATTTACTTTTTAAGTTGAACTATTAATAGATCGTCATTACATTATCGATTTCCAGTGGAGCTTATGACAGGTGTTTACACTGTTTGTATTACACAAGTGTCAAAACGCAATCTGAGAATCAGCTGAGAGTCTCATCAAAGACCATTTTTGTAAGAAAATAGGCTTTAAAGGGCCAACTTAACTACTTTTTAATACTGAAAATATTTCTAAATCGGCAAACTGGAGCGTTTACCGGAATATCTCCGCGACACCGTGGACTGGTTTATGGGGTAAGCATTATAGTGATACATTTTTTTGCTTATATGTACCTACATGATTACACTGCGCTTTTTATTACATTATTAATTTACCATTATCATTGTTACGTGTAAATATTTATTTACGATGAAACACTCTAAAATCTTAAAATTATGCATTCTATTCTAATAAGAACTATTTATGTGATGAGGATTTAATAAACCCAAGAGGGTAAAATTTAATTTATAATAATATTAGATACTTCTTTAGATATGCATATATTTTTTTTAAATAATAATAATACTTAATATGGTTTATAAAAATTGTGTTCTGGTTTTTCTGCCGTTACATATCATTAAGTAAATATTTATTAAAAGTGCCATATTCAACTTGTATATCTGAATTTTTTGTTTCTATTATCTCCTTTGAAGGTGTGTTAGTAAACAGTAAGAATTGATGCTTATTTTTAATAAAAAAATAATATTTATGCAAGTTAATTTCTTACTGTATTGCTACAGATATGTAACTGGTTAATCGTTAATATGCTACATCATAGTTATTTTACATGTTCACTAGTTCCAGTGAGGCATAAAATTAAACATAAACAGTAGATAATCTCATTATTAAAATCCAAAATTAGTTGTTGTAATGAAAATTTTAAAGTCTAATTGATTTGATTTGCTCTTGTATACACAGTAAAAAAAATAACAAAATTGAACTGTTCACAAAGTCAAATAGAAATCCAAATTGAATATGTAAAACTCAAAATGATAATAATGGAACAAAATAGTGCCTGTTAACATAGTTTTCTATGTTCACAATAAAAGCTGTAGAGTTAAATAGTCCACCTTTCGATACTTAAATTCAGAAATTTTAGTTTGTTTAAACTTTGACAAAATTTTCAAGGTAATTAGATGACTTTGTTATTTTTGTCAGTGAATAACAACATTAACA